AGTGGTTGTCCCTCAGGTTCATTGCCAGGTACACTGCTTTCTGCTCCTCTGTCCATCCATTCATCTCTGCCAGTAGCTCAAATTGTGCTCTATATGCTTCCCATGGTGCCTTCCCATCGAATTCCTGTGGCTTCCTTCGCACTAGATCACCCCTATTGCTGACACTTGTGTCTGGACTGAAGATGTCTGCATTAGGGTTTAGCTGCGGGGTCTGGAAGGGGCTTCCTGTTGTCTAGAGCTGATTAGGTCCATGGTTAATATATCCACCCTGTGTAAAGGACAGTAAATCGTCTTTTAATCCATTTAATTCACTTTGAAATTTAATAATCTTTTCCATTTGTGTATGCTGGCTTTCTCTCAACTGTTGGAGACTTTCTTCTTGTTTATTTTCTTTCTTCTCCGACCACTGCTGTAGTCTCTCTTGTTTATTTTCTTTCTCCTCCAACCACTGCTGTAGTCTCTCTTCTTGTTTATTTTCTTTTTCCTCCAACAACTGCTGTAGCCTCTCTTCTTGTTTCTTTTCGCGTTCTTCTTGTTTCTTTTCGTTTTCCTCCAACAACTGCCGTAATCTCTCTTGTTTATTTTGCTGTTCGAGCTGCCACTGTTGTTGTTTCTCTTCTTGTTTCTTTTCTCGTTCTTCTTGTTTCTTTTGCTGTTCTTTTATTGCTGCCATCAAATCTGTTAAGTCGTAGTTTGATTTGCCACTTCTCGTTTCCATTTTTTTTTCTCTATCCCACACTCTGAAACCAATTTGTTGCGTATTGTTTGTTAATCGTTTGTTAATTTCCGGTATAAATTCTTTCCATGGAACTTCAGCGATACAAGTCCTTTCTTAATTAGAACTCGTTTATTCTTTCTCAATACAACTTTATAATACACAGAATTTCCACGGTCACTTTAAACTTAACAACCTTTATAACACACGCTATAAATCACAGTGATTCACACACACTTTACTTATGGTGCCTACTGTTCGCTTGACTCAATTATCTCTATCTTTAATCTATCTGCATATCTGTTTATGTCACTGGGTTTATTTGCCGGGCTTATATACTAAAAAAGAGGGAGCCTGGCAAACACTTGGACATTCGCGGGGTTCCTCAATAAGTCATGATCCTTCTAGAAACTCCAGCGCCCATGCTCCCTGCGTCGCGTGACTCCCGCTGTCGTAACACTAGATTACCTTAATTCAATATTATTGGAACTACAAGCGAGAGTAGAAACATGGAGGTACTGTGGTGAAAATATTTATGAAATATAAAAACTTCCTTAAGGAGGGAGGGATGAATCACCTTCAAATAAACAAATGCTTCACAACTACACTTTTACAAGGGCAAACTACAAACTTATGGTCATGTTGCGAAATATTATACACATGTTTCGACTGAGCTTTCTCACGAGCTAAACTGTCCCTTTAAAATAAACACATGCTTTGGTTAAGTTTTCTTATGAGCTAAGCTATAGACTTGCAGATGTGTTGCAAAATATTAGCTGTGAAATGCTAACGAAAGGCGAACGTTGAACACACCTGTCAAGAACAACTCAGATTGTATTAAATATCATTTGCATATCAGTGAGAAGGTGATTCTAACTAGACAGTTGTGTAAGTCTAAATAAATGTGTTCACAGATGTGAAAGTATCCTCAAGGCACCAACAATGTATCAACAATTGTACTCTGGTCGGAAAGATGTTTATTCAAGACAGACTAGACAGGATGAGAAATTGTATACACAAATAACCTTTCCGGTAACCTTTTACGTCATTTGACATCCAGTCCTGGGTCACTGGTCACCAATCACTAAAAAAGAGATGAGTTCACTCTAATTGTTGGACAAATCACCTTAGAGTCTAACCCCATCAGTTTGAATAGATTATGCTGCAACACCATATAAAAATTGATGTCTCTGGACCAAAAGAGTGATTGTCCCCAACATTAGGGTTGTTCCCGGCCTCGAGGTTGCTCCAGAGGGTTCCAGGTTCTTCCAGGCTTTCCAGGTGCTCCAGTTCTTTTAGCTAAGTTCCCGAGATATACAGATAGAAAATGGTAAGACTTACACTACACTAACTCCATGTAAGTTTTAATTGTTACTCTCCTTTAACTAATAATATTACTAGGTGAAACTATGAAGTATGGTGCAAAAGTCGTTTATGTTAACTAAGTAATGTTGATAGGGTTAGAAATATTATGGATTTAATAAAAGTTACTGAAAGAGTAAACTTTTATGTAATCGATGTTATTGTTTTTCCTTTATTATAAGCCTTCATATCCTTATGTTAATGAAGTATATATCTTTTGGTGTAGAATTGGACTCGGTATCATTTATTCCTTGCTTTGCTTGTCAATTTCCTCGAGTTGGTTGACTTGTGTACCCACTCTCGACTGCATACCCTGGGTTTTTTACTAAATCTATTGTAATTAGTGTCTTGTCACCCCCAAACGACGCTCTCTCGTTCCCACGATAGAGCACCCTGTTAAACAATAACACAGCATTACACTGCAGTTTGCCATTAATCCCTAACATCAGTTTAAAAATACTCAACACTTGGAGAAAACTTGCCATC